ACATTTCAACCCTCCCGCAGGCGCGAACGCTTTGGAACCGCAACCGGCCGACATATTTCAACCCGCCCGCGGACGCGCGCAACCGCAACCGCAACGAGGCGACACATTTCAAAGTGCCCGCGCGCGCAATCGCAATCGCAATTGCAACCTAGCGGCACAGTTCCACCCGCCCGCGGGCGTGCAACCGCAACCGCAACTGAGCTACACATTTCATTCCGCCCCTGGGCGCAACCGCAACCGCAACCGCAACCTGGCAACTCCACCCGTCCGCGGGCGTGCGCAATGGCAGCCGCAACCGAATTTGGGCGACACATTTCAACCCGCCTGCGGGCGCGCGCAACCGCAACCGAATCCAGGCGACGCATTTCAACCCACCCTCGGGCCTGCACAACCTCAGCCGCAACCAGGCGACGCATTTCAACCCGCCCGCGGACGCGCGCAACCGCAACCGCAACCGCAACCAGGCGACGCATTTCAATTCGCCCGTGGGCGCTTCCAAGAGCAACCGCGTCCGCAAGAGGAGGAGGAGGAGGAGGAGGAGGAGGAGGAGGAGGCAGAAGGAGGAGGAGGAGGAGGAGGAGGAGGAGGGAGGAGGAGGAGGAGCAAGAGGAGGAGGAGGAGGAGGAGGAAAGAGGAGGAGGAGGAGGAGGAGGAAGAGGAGGAGGAGGAGGAGGAGGTTGGTCTTTGGTTGGAGGTCCTGGTCGTGGCCGTAGGGCGCTGCCTGCGCATCTCCGCGGGGACAGTACTACGGGTAATCCCCATTCCACGCTGCTACCTTGGATGTCGCAGTTGTCTGGCTCCCTGGGCCCCCCGCGGGCCGCTGGACTGTCAATAACGACGCAGGATGAAGAGTTGGTCTTGTGGAAATTCGCGATCCAGGGATCGTTTCTCTCAGGAGCCGCTGGTTTTCTGCCAATCTTCCAGCAAGCAGAGGCCAGTCTCTCCAGTTCAAGCATTCCCCTTCCCCATCATCTGAAACAAATTGTGGCTCGGCTGTCAACTTGAATGCTGAAGTCCTCCCAGTTCCCTTCCTCCCTTCTCGTGTCCACCCTCTGCATCGCTGCTTGTGGCTCAGACCGCCCTGGCTTGTCCAGGCGCCCGGCTTCTGCTGCACCATTCCCATACATTGTCTCGGTATTATCGCACTGCTGTGCTGACGCTTACACATGTTCCGCCCCGTTGCAGTGGGTCTGGCATTAACTGGCGCTGCTCGCGTGCGTGCAGAGGGGGAGGCCCTGGCCACCGAGCTCGCGGAAGAGGTGCTTGCTTGGGATACTACGAAGGTCTTGCCAAGCCCTTGGGAGACGGTCTTCAACCGACCGTCGAACAGGGATGTGGGCTCTGTCACCGAGCATCCCATCTGGGACAAGTATGATCTCGAAGTGTTCCCAGATTCCCTCGAGACCGTGCAAGAGCAGGACGGCTTCCCGCCCACCATCGCTATGGGAAGAGTGTTGATGAAGGAGAACAGGAAGCCAACCATGCCGCCCCCGAGCTACCGCATGACGGGCGTGGGAGGCGAAGAGGTGAGGCACCTCAACGGTATGGTGAACCCAGCTGGAGAGACGACAGTCTGGGGCTGGCAGAGGATCAGGTATTTGGCAATAAAGACGTGGATGAATTATTGGTCGGCCCGCAACAGCGAAAAGTTGATCGTGCTCCATGCCAGTGGCGAGGTGCTCTATGCTGGCTGCTCTGAGAACACGATCGCCTCCAAGTACAACCAGGTGATCACCGCTAGCGGTGGCACTCAGAAGATTGTCTTGGCCGCCGAGGTCAGCCCGTGGCCTGTTGAGCTCGGGTGGCGCTACGACCAGACCGCCGGTATCGCCACGACCAGGACCGATTTCCTGACATCGGTGGGCGTGTCCGATTCTTTTGCCTCAACTTATGCCGATTGCACCAACACGACTGTCGGGTATTGTACCACTCCGCCAAAGTATCAATTCGCAAACTCGGGCTTCATCATGGGCCCTGTCGGGGATGTGGCAGAGATGCTGAACGACTTTTACTACTGGTCCGGCTCCGAGAACAACTTGGTCAACGAGTATTTCCTCCATAACCCAGACCAGGTGGCTCTCGACTACGCCGGCATCCTGGTGCTGTCCCTCAACAACATGAAGCTGGACGCTAGCATCCCCGTGACGGTGGAGGTCGCTTCGGGTGCGAAGTCTTTCAAGAACCTGATCACAGGCACCAACGTGTGCTTCGTGCACGGAGGCGGGAACTCGTTTGATGCACTTAAGGTTCTTGCGCAGGAGTTGCTGGCGGACGCGTGAGAGTTCTGTGGCGCGGAGCACGTTTTCCAGATGGCCCATTCGTGTTGAGGCTCGTCCCTCCCTGCTTCTGCTCCCGTTCACCTGCCGACGGCGCATGATTACCAATGCTAGACAATATGGCACGGGCAAGCGCAGCACACATGCCTGGGAGGGTACGTCTTCTTCGTCGCTGTGCGGAAGGCACCCGGCGAATCTTTGCCGAATAAACACATGTGAGTCGGAAGGTCATGATCACATTATCATGTGCCCGGGGCATCCCAGAAGCACTCTTGAAGCCCAGGCATAAGGAAGGAGACAGCACGAGAAGGGGCACCATCGTGCGAAGCGGGGTCTGTACCAGGTGCCTGATGCTCGCATTGGTCGAGCACCGTCGTGGCCGCAAACGGGGCCCAGGCGAAGGCCAGTATGGGCGGGCACCAAAAAAAGGTGGGGGCCCTGGGGAGCCCGAAGGCTTAGGGGCGGGGTATCCGAGCCAGGCCTCCGTCCCAGCTCGCGGGTGGCCCGCCACAAGGCGGACGAGGGCATGTCGCAGCAGACTGCCGATCCTGTGCTGCTCACGCTGCCGCTCAGTAGCCCACGGGACGCCCCGGACGTATGCGGTGGACTTGACAGGGGAGCGGAGGGCACCTTCGTGTCATGATGGGCCCGTCTTCCACCACCACCACCACCACCACCACCATAAGTTGGAGGGGGAGTGGGTCCTCCTCCTCCTCCTCCTCCTCCTCCTCCTCCTCCTCCTCCCTCCTCGTCCTTCTCCTCCTTTCCCCCCTCCAACTTATTGTGGCGGTGGTGGAAAACAGGCCCATCATGTCACTGGCGGACCAACTCTCACAGGGTGGCCCACCCGCCGTGGTGATACCCCGGTGGGGTCTGACATGCCCAGCCTTCCCCAAGGTAGAGCCTGTGGGAGGAGGCACGTCTCCCCTCGCGGCGTCCCTGGCAGTGCCGATGCTGAGCATACTCATGCCTCAGAGGAGGAGAAGGTACCCATACCTCTACACTTCGGCCGTTGTCCCTTTTTTGGGCCTCCTCGCAGGATCTCGTCGCCACCGCTGGATTCGCCTCGAAATTCTGGTCAGAACGCACCCCAGGAGAGGTCCAGGGAGTAGCGGTATCGGTGCCTTTTGGTTCCCACAAGTTCGATCGAACCCATCGAAACCTGGACCACCTGCTGCTAATTGAAGCTCCCCCGCCTGTGCTTTAGCCGCTGAGTATACCCAGAGCGAAGACGGTGGGGCGATGACTGCAGACTTGGATCGATTCGCTCGTAGCGCCAGTTGGGAAGAATGGATCATCCAACGGCCATGATGTCGGCTGAGACGCATCTGGGGAGGCAACAATTCGTATCACGAAAGGCCGCCACATGATCGGGAGTGGTAGCGCTGTCAGCTGCCAAAGAAGCTCCTTCACAGTGGGCACATCCGATGAGAAGCGTGCCTGCCTGCAGGTGCCCCGCGGAAGCTTCTCTTCCTCGAACGGCCCCTGGGACCGGAGCACTCGACCACCCGAGGAGGCGCTCAGTCGAAGACCAGCGTCGCACGCGCCGCCAGGGCTTCTTGCAGCAAGAGTCCTTGTCGTACGTGCCGCCTGCAGTGGTCTCGTGAGCTCCGTGAGCTCCAGTCCTCCTCCTCCTCCTCCTCCTCCTCCTCCTCCTCCTCCTCCTCCTCCTCCTCCCCCTCCTGCTCCAAAAAAAAGTCAAACAAAATAGTCAAACAATAGGAATATTCAAAAAGAGGAATATTCAGAAATAGTCGAACAAATAGTCTGGGCACGAGTGTTCGACTATGCTTGATCATATTTGGGCGATTTTTTGTGTTTGGTTCGAGTTTTGCCCCACATCCCCCTGTAGGGGGACAGGCCCGAACTAACTCTGGGGGCGGGGCACCAGGTCGACGAGACGCAGTCTCTTGAGCCCAGCACGGCGCTGAGCCTCGGCCTCCTGCAGAGCCTCAGGGGCCACTGCAGAAGCGTGCTGGCTCGCCTGATGGGCCTGCTTGGAGAAGGAGGGGCGTCGGACTGCGAGGATCGGACTTCGAGGATCGAGGAGGGAGGGGGAGGAGGAGAAAGTGCGGATGTGGAGAAGGCGGGATCGAAGGAGGGAACAATTGCACAAGCCCCGGCCTTTGGAGGTCCGCGCGAGTGTCTTGGATCTGCGTTGGACCTCCCTGGCGGCGCCTTTGGCTACGCTCCTGGCGCGCTCCACGCGGCCGGGAGCGGGGTCCAGCGCCGATTCAGGAACGCGCGGACCTCCGAACATCTCAGATTTGTGTACTTGTCCTTTTTCGGAGGGAGGAGGAGGAGGTGGAGGAGAAGGAGGAGGAGGAAGATGATGGGGAGGAGGAGGAGGAGGAAGAAGAGGCGGAGGAGGAGGCCCTCACCCTCGGGACCGTCAACAGCGACTCCCGGTGAGAAACTGGCCAGACCTCCAGGGGTCCACGCTGCGAACAACTCACGACGTCGGAGGTCTGGGGAGGAGGGAGGATCAGGGCCTCGGAAAGAGGGAGGTGGAGGAGGAGGTGGAGGAGGAGGAGGAGGTGGAGGAGGAGATCGAGGAGAGATCCATACCGTTTTCGTTGCAGTCGAATCGCAATGATCTTCTGCATCCCAGGGCCTGCCAAGAGCCATCGAAAACCCTGTCCTGGGAAAACGGTCCAGCCCTCCTGGGGTCCTCGCTGCAAAAGAGTCACGACGTCGGAGGTCCTTGGGGGGGAAGGAAGATCAGGGCCTTTGAACGGGCTGGGGATCTGGCTCAGGGGGAAGGAGGAGGAGGAGGAGGATGAGGATGAGGAGGAGGAGGAGGAGGTGGAGGAAGAGGAGGAGGAGGGGGGGCGAAGGAGGAGGAGGAGGAGGAGGAGGAGGAGGAGGAGGAGGAGGAGGAGGAGGAGGAGAGGAGGGGAGGAGGAGGAGGAGGAGGAGGAGGAGAGGAGGAGGAGGAGGAGGAGGAGGAGGAGGAGGAGGGGCGAAGGAGGAGGAGGAGGGGTCGTAGGATGAGGAGGAGGAGGAGGAGGAGGAGGAGGAGGAGGAGGAGGAGGAGGTGGAGGAGGAGGAGGAGGAGGGGGCGAAGAAGGAGGAGGAGGCGGAGAGGGCGAAGGAGGAGGAGGAGGAGGAGGAGGAGGAGGAGGAGGAGGGACCCAGGAGGAGGGACCCATGGGCGCTCACACTCAGGACCATTATGAGCGACTCCCGGTGAGAAGGTGATCAGGGGTGGAAGCATCGAGCCCCAATCGCTGTTCGGGGTCTGGGTGCCCCAACCTTCCCAGGTAGTGGGTTTCCCAGCAGGGGTGGTATTGCTAGCCGATCGGCAATGGATCGCCGATTCCAGGTTCCTGTTCCTCATCCGTGAGTCAGTCCTCTCGTTGGGCTTCTTTCTCGCAGGAGTGGGGTCCTGCGGGAAACGGGCTCGTTTTTTTGGTTGATCCGTTTTATGGCACCCGGGGCCCTCCACAGGCTGTTGGAATGTGAGAACTATTCGGGATGAAGCGCTGGTCTTGGGAAAAGGACCCCAGGATCCAGAGCTCGTTTCTCTCAGGGTCCGCTTCCTTCATGTCAATCTTCCACCCGGCCCAGGCCAGTCTCTCCAGTCCAGGCCCCCCCCCCTTCCTCTGTGGCTCAGCAACCTCGGATTCTGAAGACCTCCCTCCTCCTCATGTCCAACCTCTGCATCGCCACGTGTGGCTCAGACCGCCCTGGCTGGTCCAGGCGCTCGGCTTTGCTGCGCCACTCCCATACATTATCTCAGTATTACCGAACTGCAGACGCTTACACATGTTCCGCCCCGTTGCAGTGGGTCTGGCCCTGACTGGCGCTGCTCGCGTGCGTGCAGAGGGGGAGGCCCTGGCCAGCGAGCTCGCGGAAGAGGTGCTTGCTTGGGATACTACGAAGGTCTTGCCAAGCCCTTGGGAGACGGTCTTCAACCGACCGTCGAACAGGGATGTGGGCTCTGTCACCGAGCATCCCATCTGGGACAAGTATGATCTTGAAGTGTTCCCAGATTCCCTCGAGACCGTGCAAGAGCAGGACGGCTTCCCGCCCACCATCGTGATGGGGAGAGTGTTGATGAAGGAGAACAGGAAGCCAACCATGCCGCCTCCGAGCTACCGCATGACGGGCGTGGGAGGCGAAGAGGTGAGGCACCTCAACGGTATGGTGAACCCAGCGGGAGAGACTACAGTCTGGGGCTGGCAGAGGATCAGGTATTTGGCAATAAAGACGTGGATGAATTATTGGTCGGCCCGCAGCAGCGAAAAGTTGATCGTGCTCCATGCCAGCGGCGAGGTGCTCTATGCTGGCTGCTCTGAGAACACGATCGCCTCCAAGTACAACCAGGTCATCACCGCGAGCGGTGGCACTCAGAAGATTGTCTTGGCCGCTGAGGTGAGCCCGTGGCCTATTGAGCTCGGGTGGCGCTATGACCAGACCGCCGGTATCGCCACGACCAGGACCGATTTCCTGACATCGGTGGGCGTGTCCGATTCTTTTGCCTCAACTTATGCCGATTGCACCAATACGACTGTCGGGTATTGTACCACTCCGCCAACGTATCAATTCGCAAACTCGGGCTTCATCATGGGCCCTGTCGGGGATGTGGCAGAGATGCTGAACGACTTTTACTACTGGTCCGGCTCCGAGAACAACTTGGTCAACGAGTATTTCCTCCATAACCCCGACCAGGTGGCTCTCGACTACGCCGGCATCCTGGTGTTGTCCCTCAACAACATGAAGCTGGACGCTAGCATCCCCGTCACGGTGGAGGTCGCTTCGGGTGCGAAGTCTTTCAAGAACCTGATCACAGGCACCAACGTGTGCTTCGTGCACGGAGGCGGGAACTCGTTTGATGCACTTAAGGTTCTTGCGCAGGAGTTGCTGGCGGACGCGTGAGAGTTCTGTGGCGCGGAGCACGTTTGAGGCGCGTCGCGATGCTGAGGCGCGTCGCTCCAAGCTTCTGCTCATCTGGGGGGGAGGGGAGCAGAGGAGGAAGGCATAATGGACGGGACCAGCAGGAAGATGGAGGACCGCAGAACTGACAACTAAATTGAGATAAACTTGGAGGCCCGCGCGGATTTCATGTGTCGGTGCTGGCCTCCCCATCTCGGCGCCTGCGGTGCCGGGGATGAAGAGGCAGCGCCGACTCAAGAACTCGTCGTTTGCCTCTAATGTCACCTTCAGATCCTTTCTAGACGAACCGGAGTCCAGCGCCGACCCAGGAAGTCCAGTGCAGAAC